TGACTGCCGGTCCTCTCCATCTCTGTGTCTGGAGGAGCCACAGTTACAGGTATGAGCCACTGTGCCTTGTGTGATATTTTCAATGTCCTCTTTATTATGTAGAAATGAAATTGATAATTTATGCACATGTAATTTTTTTAAAAATGGGATTATAACTTTCTATGATTTTATGTTGTAGAATTATTATTCTTTTCTTTTGTGACACTAGGGTTTGAACTCGGGGCCTCATGCTTTCTAGGAAGGCACTCTCCCACCTAAGCTATGCACCCCACCATTTTTGCTTTTAGTTTTTTTTTGGATAGGGTTTCACATTTTTGCCCAGGGCTGGCTTTGGACTGTGATCCTCCTATCTATACCTCTCATGTAGCTGAGACCACAGGTGCACACCACCACACCTGGCTTACTGGTTGATATGGGGTCTTTTTTTGCCAGGACTGGCCTCAAACCATGATCCTCCCAATCTTCGCCTCCCTTGTAGCTGGGATTACAGGTGTGTACCACTACGCTCCACCCAAGTTCCTTTTTAAAGTTTGTGTATAAAGAGCAGAAGAGAAACTGCTGGTCAATTAAGTACCTACCTGGAACTACTGTAATAGAATCCTGTCTGAAATCCATAAGTCTATCAATAATTACTGCTTCAACTTCATGATTTAGGAAAGCTTTGCCCTACTGCCAGACTATTCTAAGTGAGTTAATACATGTAAATCTTCAGAGTACTGTTTAAAGCTGTTACCAAAGAATGTTTCAAGAGAAATGCTTCAGCAAAAGCTTAAAATACTGAGTTTGTGATAAAACTAGCATTAGGGAGGACATATTCAAGTCTCTGTATTACCTTTTATACCTAAGCATTCAATAAAAGTCATTTCCCCAAACTTGCCCTAGAGTAAGAATTACCTGGATGTTTGCTAAATTGAACTCCCTACCCTTTCCTTAGACAAGAGATTCCAGTTCAAGTGGATTTGGGACAGGGCCTGGAAATCTGTGTTATTACCACATCCCATATACCTCGTATATTCAGACAAGTTTGGAAAACCTAATTAAAATGTATATTAAAAACATGAAACCTGCTGTTAACAATCATTCATTGCAATTTGAGGACTGTGGTATGTATTCATATATATATATATATATATATACACACATACATATATATATGCATACATATGTATATAATATATATATATTTTTTGTGACAAGGTCTCACTGTGTAGCTCAGGCTGACCTTGAACTTGCAATTCTCCTGCTTGAGCCTCCAAGCGCTGGGATTACAGGTGTGCATCACTATGCCTGGCTATATTCATAAATACTTAAACACATATTTGTATGCAAGTGGCTATAGCAGTGTGAGTGAGACAACAGTTCATGTATTCTGTGACTGTGTGGTCTGGTTAGCTTTACTGTTTCAAGAACAGATTATTTCCCAAATCCTCATCAGCTATCTAACAAAACAGAGCAAGCTACTGGTTGCAAAGAAATCTGAAAAGTTACTGAATTGAATTCAGGGTTGAGGGTGTAGTTCAGTAGTAGACCACTTGCCTAGCATGCTTGGGGCCCTGGGTTTGCTCCCCAGCACCAAAGTCAATAAACAAATATAAATTTAAACTCAAATTCAAATCTAACACACTACTGCTAGGAAAGTGCAAGTTTAAAAACCAAACAAAACCAAGATCATTTTATTATTAGGTAAAATCTAAAAGTATTTTTAAACCATCATATTTTTTAGCACAAAGCTACTTTAAATATATGGGTATTCCTTAATTACAATCATTACTTTTTTTAATTGTATGACATATATACAGAAAAGTGCTTGAATTTTGTATCAATTTTGTTTTAAACTTATTAACTTATACATGAAACAAAAAATTGTACATATTAACTGAGTACTATGTAGTTTTAATAGGTATGTGTGTGTATTTTTAAAAAGTAACTATGCCTATGATAGCTGGACCCACATCAAGAAGCAGAGTTCTACTAACATTCCAGAAAGCCCCCTGCCTTTTTTTTGTGGTGCTGGGGCTTGAACTCAGTGTCTACACCTCGAGTTACTCCACCAACCCTTTTTTGTGAAGGGTTTTTTCGAGATGTGGATCTCGTGAACTCTGCTTGGGCTGGCTTCGAACCATGAGCCTCCTGATCTCTGCATCCTGAGTAGCTAGGATTACAAGTGTGAGACACCAGCACCCAGCCATTTTTATCAATATCCTCTTCCCACCATGTATTGTTTGGACTTCAAACAGATTAGTTTTGTTTTTGAATTTTAAATAAGTGGAATCATACAGTATTTTTGGGAGGTGTGGGCTTGGCTTCTTTAAATATTATGTTTGTCTGGCTGTAGGTGTGGCTCATGTGGCAGAGCACCCGCCTACCAAAAGTGAAGTCCTGAGTTCAAACCCCAGTTATCACCAAAAAAAAAAAAAAAAAGTTTGTGAAATTTGTGTACATTGCTGTACGAACTCTCATTTCTGTACTTCGTTGTGTGAATGTGCTTTCATCACATTTATGCACCGACTCTTGGTTCTGAATGGAAAGCACATACATAGGGATAAGACATCCAGTGTGAGTTAGTACAAAGAGACACTACAAGTCAGGAGAATGGAATTCTGCTATTAACAACCATGTGGCAGGGTCTCCAGATCTTTAATATGGTGTTTCCTTATTTTGCAGAATGATGACTTTTCAATACTGATTCCAATCCCTGCTCTAAGTTCTTAAGGAGCTTGAAGTATGTCATCTCCTTTATCTCCTTTGCCACGAGTGTCATTTCAGTGAGCACCAGCCCAATTTCCACAGTACTTTGTGTGGCCACCGGTGCCCGATCTATTTGAATGCATGCGCCATACACTGAGTCTTCCTTTGGGAACAGCTTTCACTGTAAGATGAAAGTGACTGATGGAAGTACCCTAGGTTCCTTGCACCACAGGTGGGATAACTTGAGAGGTGTGTTCTTCACTTGTTCCCAGAACTCCCCAGCAAGGGATGCGGCAGGATTGCGTTCTAAGGTCCAAAGTTGCTAACTTGATAATGAGCACTTTCATTGGTCTCCTTCCATTTTGTACCCAATTCCCTACTCCCCTATTGGTGTTTCTTGAGATTAAGCTTCCAAATAAAATACTTTGCTTTTGTTATGCAATATTCAGGATTGAGCCCAGAGCCTTGTGCCTGTTAGACAAGTGCTGTACCATTTGAGCTATGCCTCCAGTCCCAGAATCAACTTCTAAGGGAAACTGTTCTAACTTCTTAGAACTTTAGTAGCATTTTCTCACCCCCTATTTGGTGCCCTTCTTTATGTTCTTACACTGTAGCAATACATTAAAACTAATATGCAGAAGATGCTGGGATATTACCTAGTGGATTTAAAAATAACTCACTCTTAAAATAACTCACTAGCTTTCTCATGATTTTTTTTTTTGTCCTGCTGGGGCTTGAACTCAAGGCCTAAACCTCAAGTCACTTCACTAGCCCTATTTTGTGAAGGGTGTTTTCAAGATGGGGTCTCATGAACTGTTTGCTTGGGCTGGCTTCAAACCACAATCCTCCTGATCTCTGCCTCCTGAGTAGCTAGGATTACAGGCCTGAGCCATTGGCGCCCAGCTCCCACGAACTTTTCTTCTACATAAACTTGGCATTCAATATGAATACAGAGTTCTCCATTCCACATTGCTTCTTCTCTCCTTTGAAAATTGTTAAAAGATATAGCATTAAAGGAAATAAAAATATATTCTAGTTAACCCTGATTGAACTGAGAGATGCCTAGGAGATTAGTAAAGCACACTTCTGGGTGTGTATGTGAGGGTGTTTTCAGAGATGACTGGCATAGCAACTACGGGGGGTGTGTGGATATGGGTGGCATTGTCCAATAGGTCGAGGGCCTATGGGCCCACCATGAAAGGTGGAAGGAAGCCAGTCAGTGTGTGCAAGCTCCACCCTTCTCGAGTGTGTCTACTATTGCTGCATGACTGTGGACATCAGACTTCAGCTCCGTCAACCCTTCAATGCAGACTCATGCCAGCAACTCCCCAGGGAGCTTCCAGGTCTTCTACCTTGGACTGAGACTATAACAACATTAGTCTCCTTAGTCTCCCTTGTCCAGAGGTTTCCAGCTTCTTGGACTAAGCTGCTACTGGGTTCACTGGCTTTCCAGTGTGCAAACAGTTTGTTGTACTATCCAGCCTCCAATTAAGAAATTCCCTTTTGTAATTTTACACATATTCCACTGGTTCTGTTCCTCTAGAGAGGCATGATTAATACACCTAAGTAACATATGAATAGCTGCAATGGATGTTGCTATATTGGATCTAAAATCATCTGGCCTGCAAATGCATGAACTATAAGGCTTTAGTTCACTTGCCAAAATTTGGAATGAGTACCACTCATGTCCTTTCATTTAGAAATGAATCTTTAGAAATCATTTATTTATTTATTTATTTTTGGCAGTATTGGGGTTTGAACACTTGTGGGCGTTTCTACCACTTGAGCCACTCCACCAGCCCTTTTGTGTGTGTGTGTGTGTGTGTGTGTGCTCGCGTGTGTGCGTGTGTATTGGTTATTTTCGAGATAGGGTCTCCTGAAATATTTGCCTGATCTTTCCTCGAACAGCAATCCTCCTGATCTCTACCTTTGAGTAGCCAGGATCACAGGCATGAGCCACTGGTCCCAGCAAAACCATTCACTTTTCCAGTTTAAAGTTATATTCAGAATGAGATCCTGGATATTTGCAACCATGTGGACTATTATAGGATGTTTTGTAGGCTGTTTAGGTGAGAGCACCAATTGAATTTCATGATCTTATGGAACAATCCACAAAGGAAGAAATAAACATTAGAAAGGACATGCTGAAACAATAAGTCAAAATACTCATTTTCTGCCAGATCTTGCCTGCCCCCCTCCAAATGAAAAAAAAAAAAGAAAAAAATGTTAATTTCAATCCACTTTTTATTCTTTCATAGATTAATAATTATATGCAACTTTTAACATATAGTGAAATCTCAAGGATAAGGAGGCAATGTATATGACCTTTTCTATTTGCTCTTCATGATGGAAGAAAATTTCCAAAGAATACATGTGTGAGATTTAACACTGGAAAAATACATATGAAACTTGTTTAACTGGCTGCACTTAGGACCAGGCACAGCACAATAAATACAGAACTGTATAATCTTTTTAAAAGACTGCTGTAATATTAACACACTCTTACTAAAGAAACACTATCTGTGAACAATCTAAAATTCTATAACATGTAAGTGAAGGGAACAGTGAACATCTGAGCATTGTTTCTCTAGCTTCTTCACACTCATACAGCAACATTCTTAAAAGAAGTAAGAATGTACATCTCAAAATCAGAACAACAACACAAAAAACTTGGTCAACTAATTTCTTCAGATCATTCATTATGATCAAAATTCTAGTTTGCTGGTAGGTTTAAGGTAGGAATAGAAAGTTTTTGAAATCTGTTTAATTTCCACTAGCCTAAGTGCGTCTTGTAGGAGGCTACACTGGAAGCAAACTGATTGAGCAGCACCATTAAGTCCACATCTCAAGAAATCATTGCATAATCTTTACCTGTCAACATTGTTGAAAGGTTAAAAAAAGTTATATGGAAGAATATCTTTCCTGAACAGCAGGCCACTGTAACCATATGCAACCTGCAAGGATTTACACTAAACTGTATCTGAATTCTCTACTGACTGCATCTATCCTTAACAGAACAAAAGAAATGTATTACCTAAAAATTTAAATAACATACTGAGGCATAAAATAAATACTTTATTTATGTTATTACATTTGCATATTTGGAATTATTAGACATGTTCACATATCTTTTCCTCTTCCCTAAGAGAAAGCAATGGTGCCAGCACTATCCGTCAGAAAGAGTTAATGGGAAACTTGCTCTCAGAGCTGTTTTGCAATGTGCCTTATTAGGCAAACACAGAAGTTATTTTTAAACATATACTTAAAAGACAGGACGAAATTGATCTTTTTCTTCCCACATGACCCAGTTTCTGTTACCAGTAGATACAAGAATTTCATCCCTATTAAACAGAATGGAAACTGTTATGCCGCTCTGGCCATAGACGTTCTGAGAAACCCGAGCCAGAGGACTGGAAAAACCCCCATGAAAGTAGTCATGTTCTATAGTTCATAAACTGTTCAAAAACTCAGCAAGCAAAAAGACATGCAAGCACATGACACATGTTATTACTTTGTAAAGCTATAATGCCACTCTGGCCCCAACAATCACTACAGTTCAGCTGGTTCTTAAATAGGCAAAAAAGCCTTTATCCACTACTAAATGTCTTTCCTATGGTATTTTGCTGCCTATCACACTGCCATATGACTTTTAGAAGCTTAGGCTTCTAAGATGTTTGAGGAAAAGAAAGAGGATGTGATATGGGTCAAGTTTTCAATGATCGTTTCAAATATAATTAAAAAAGAGAACTTCCTAGCAATGCAGTATATAATAATTCCTGATACTGAATTTTTCCTAGTGAAATGAAATATGCTTTGATGAGATGTTAATCTAAGTCTTACCACCTGGCTCTTTTATCACTTTTTCAGAGAGAACTGATTCATCTATAATGCTGAGTCTCATAAGTGCTCCTTTAGAAACAATATAGTTCCCAACAGCTTCCCATAAGTACTCCTGATTTATACTAGGGAAGCAGTGTACAATTGGAACATTAATCACACGTTTACTGAGCAAAGCTGCAAGTGACCTTCCCACGCAGGTACTGAGCCATTTCCCAAAGTACCTGTCAAGAGGTATAGAAACCTGGCCTTTCATCCCAGATCCATTGCAAAGAGAGTACATGCAGTCGTCCCGTTTATAATTTAATGGAGGTGAGGAGAGGGCAAACCAAAGACAAGGAGGGTTGTCACCCTACATACAAGTTTACAGTAGTGTAGCCATTGTACATCATATTACTACATTCACCACTTCAGATAAGAGACTGGGGAAGCGTTTCAAACACTGGAACAAAGGAATGTTTGGATTATATAAGACCTACCAAATAAACAGCAAAACAAATGATAACACACTAGGCACTAGTCTCAAAGCTGCAGAAAAAAAAAAGGAGGGTTTGAGATGAGAAATTTAGAGAAATATACACATATGAACTTGCTGAGGAAGAGGAGGAAAGAAATCACAGTTCTAATCTTCAAGGCTACGGAATGCATTCTGCATGTCTTCAAGAAGTTGAGCATAGTCGCCCTTGATCTTTGCCTCACCGTCTTTCACTGGATCCTAAAAAAAGATATGACAGATTCAATTTACCTTTGGAAAACAATTCTCAGCTGTAGTAAGTTACTTATATTTGATATATTTTGAATACTAGGTTCAGTGAGGTACACTGATAAACCACAGAGAAGAGTCAAAATCCAGCAACATAGAAAGAAAACAAAAAAACTGACTAAACCCAAAATAATGTGCACAACAGTGCAAATGATGAGAGCAGTGCATATTAGATGCATGTGACTATGTATATATGATGACTGGGAATTAGTTTAGTCAAAACAGAATTTATTATTTCAGGATCTGCCAGACATAAATTTGGATGCAGAAATAAAATCTGGAAAAATAATTTTTAAATGTACCATATTTAAAATTCTTATGGAAAGCTACTTAAGTCAAGTAATATGTATAAGAGACTTTAAAGTGTTTAAGCTCTCTGACACTTCATTCTACTTCTAGGACTCTAAACCAAGAAATGCTACTCTCTAACCCAAAACAAAGCTATAGAATATCTAAGGAATTAAAAAAAAAAGATCTGTGATGTTAATTTGATATAATGAGCATGTAAACAGAAAAGATTTCAACTTAAATCACTTATCAGAAATCATCACAATTAGGTATTTTTTTTCTTTTTCTATGAATACATAATTTTAAAAGACAAAATTTTGATCAAATTATATATGGAATCATTTGTAACCAGATTTTTTTTTACAGTATACCATAAATATTTCTCCATATCTTTAGAAATTGTTAAAAAAAACAGACATTAATTCCTTTATATATTTTTTGTCTTATGAACATGTCATGATGTACTTAGATGAACATGTCATGTTCGTTCTTAGATGATATTTAAGAAGTTTAATAAATAACATGAAAAAAAAAATCTCTGGGCTGTGGGTGTAACTCAGTAGTAGGCACTTGCCTAGTATCACAAGGCTCTGGTACGACCAAAACAAAAACAAAAACAGTATCTGTTCCTACATCTCAAAATGAAATGACAGGACCCAAAGGTTACAAACATTTTAAAATTCTTGATGCAGTTATATTTATATCAGTTAACATTTTCAATCTAAGTATATATAAACACACACACAATAAACATATTGCTTTTAAAATTTTCTATTAAAGATTCACTTGGAGAATCATTGAACATGTGATTAGTAAATATGCCTGGGTATCATGAAATCAATCCATCTGATTAGCTATTTAAAAAAAAAAAAAAAACCCATCTTACACACTTTAACTTCTACTGGAAATTTCACTTAACTACTTATTTTTATCTTGTGTACTTCTGAAAGAGTTAAGAGGTTACTTAAAAGCTAAAACAATGTGTAACATATATTTAAAAGAAATAAATAGGGCAGACATTATTCAGAAGAATATGGGGCTAGATCTTAATAGGTACTTGAAGTTAAGGTAATTGCTGTTCAGCAATGATTTAGCTTTAAATTGCCTGGTAGCTAAGACAAAAGAGAAAAAAACATCAGCACTTATTTTAGACGTGACATACTATAATTTTTATCACTGGAATTCCCACTTGAACATAACTTGAGGACTGTTCTGGTTTTATACAACACGAACATGTGTGAAAATGATAAATGCAAGTTTCATCTTCCAGGTTTGGGATGAAAGAAAGGAAAATAAGAGAAAGAAGGGAAGGGAGGAAAAGGAGGAAGGAAAGGGCATTTTCTACTAAAAAAACTACATCAAGAACAAAATATACCTTGAATTTCATGGAGGAAAGTTTATAGAGGATCTCCCCCATGTGCTCACGGATGATGGACCATGTGATTTTATTGTCACTCTGGGCAGTGGTCTCTACAGCTCTGCGGGCCATATCATAAAATGCAATCATGTTGGACAGCATCCCTACTGTCTTGTAGAATGGGCAGAACCTAGGGTAATGAAGATGGAAAAAATTAACAAAAACAGATGACACAGCAAGTTCACACTTTCATTATATAAAACTTTCACTATAAAACTATCTGGGCATTAGCTTCTCCATTTAAATATACAGATTGCTTACATTTACTAGATACACAGGAATGAAAAAAAGAATAGAAGAAAAAAAGTAGGTTGGGAGTACATGGCTCAAGTGGTAACACGCCTGCCTAGCAAGCTTGAAGTCCTGAGTTCAAACTCTAGCATCACCACCCAAAAAACAGAAAGAAAAAAAAAAAAAAACCAGAGCTGTCTCAGTATCCATGGGATAGATGAATATGAAGATTCATACTATTTATCTTGAAGATAATTTTTTTTCTGTTGAAATGATCAAGCAAGAGGAACAAGGTTACATAAGTAAATCAAATGGTTGAGTTGTAAAGATTCCCTTCGTGGTCTTACACTAAGGTTTAATAAATAACAGCAAAGCAAGAAACTGCAAGTTGCTACAGTTAATAATGGCCCCTTTTACTTTAATGTGTTTATTTTCATTTACCCATACCTTTTAATAACAAAAAACACCCGCTTACCAGCAAACACTAAATTTAACAATACTGTCACACTCTTTCCAAAGGATTTTTCCTTGATGAGTTAGCTTTATGTGGGTGGCTCAGTTCTGTCCCTGAGCCTGCAGATTTCTGAGATTTCCTGACATATTGGCATATTTTTTGCTTGCCCTACCAATCTGGTTAATCTTCGTATTTGTTCACTTCTCTTTGATTCTTACATGGAGCCAAATATGATGGGAGGGAGAAAAGCTAGCCTAAGATGAAAGATGCAAATGTAAAGAATTTAAAAGAAATGGGAATTGTAAGTAAGCCATTGCAGTAGCAGAGACAATAATAAAAAAAAGGCAAGCACTGGGTACCTAAAACGGACTGTTAAAGAGACATATGACTTGTGGGAAATGAAGTGGGAAAACAGAATGTAAGTATTTAGGCAAGGAGTAAAAGAGACACGGCAGTGTGTAAAAGTAGTCATAATTTGACAAATAAGCAAATTAAGACAAGGGGACATATTAGATCATTAGATGTCTGCCATGAATACCCAAAATAAGCCAGTATTTTGAGTCAGAGTTTGTCTGTCTGAGAAAAAAAGTTTTTAATATGCAGGTAGCTCCTTTGCCAAAACACAAAAGAAAATTCCCAAAAAAAAAAAAGGAAGTCAGCATAGCTTACCTGTCGTAAGGAGTATATCCATTTTGTTGTAGGAAGTCATCTTTGATAAGTTTTGCTACCTCCAGAGTGATTTTGTCTGTTTCTGCTAAAGAAGCCTAGAAGAGAAAAAAAGATGTATTTTTATACCTTTATTTTCATGATGTGGGACCAACAATCACAAATAATTAGCAATCAGATATTAAACAATACAATCACTTATCATTAATAGATTAACTTTATAACTACTATTTGTTCTTTTTTACTGTGGTAAAAAGTACAAACATAAAATCTGCCATCTTAACCATTTGTAATAGTACAGTTTAGTAGTGTTAAGTATATTTAGACTGTTGTGAATCATTTTGCAAATCGAAACTATGCCCGTTATATAGTAACTCCATTGTACTTTCTGTTTCTATGAATTTGACTACTTTAAATACCTCATGTAAGTGAAATCACACAGTTCTTGTATTTTTGTGACTGACTTGTTTCACTTAGCAAAAAGTCCTCAAGGTTCATTGGTGTTGCAGCATGTGACAAGATTTCCTTCCTTAAAAAGGCTGAAAAATATCTCATTGTATGAACATACCATTTTGTTTGTACATTCACTTGCACAAGGACATTTAGGCTGCTTTCACTTTTGGCTATTGTGGATAGTGCTGCTATGAACATGTGTGTGCAAACTGATTGTTTGTTTTTATAAATACTTAATAATAAATGCTTGCCTTGCTTTATGTCTTAATTATTTGAGTTTTCAACTTTAAGTTTGTTTCACGGTAATCTAAATAGCTTATAAATAGTTACTTTTAAAAAAATTACATGATGTTCAGAACTATCAAGTATAAGCATAGATAAGTATGTACTTATCTTGTTTGAGTGTTATTTTATTAGACACAAGGCTATTTATAAGTTACAGGGTTTTATCCTCTAAATATCACTGCCTCAAAAGCCCTAACTTTTATAGATACTCTATCAGCCTGGAGCGATAACACCATTGTTGCTAGGATCACTAACAAGTGAAGATTTCTTAGGAGTTGTAAGAAAGAGACAGTGCCCATGAGTTAAATGCATTCTGTATGACTTATGTATACTAACTTCCTTTAGTTAAGGATCAGGTCTTCATTTCTTATTTAAAAAATCCCTTTTACTTCTATTTCCTTCTTCAAAGGCAAATATTACATGTATTTCCTTTTATAGGAAATATATATATATATATATATATATGTATTTTGTGCTTGTTTTTCAGTATGCAAAGCATTTTTAATTGTTTTTGGCACTTTGTTTTTAAGATCCACTTATGCTGTTATATGCCAGTACATAACACAGTGTACTGCTTCTGGGTCTTGTGCAATTCATTCTCTGTTGTGGGCATTCTCCCTACTTTACCTTCAATCTCTTGTCCTGGTACAGGACACCCAGATTTCATTTGATTCCCCACCACACAAATGTTGACTTAAGGTCTTGTTTGAGAATATCTTTCAGAGATAAATACCCAGAGGCAGAACTGCTAAGTCCCAAACAAGTTATCTATTACACTGTTCTTCACAATGGCAGCACAAGATGATATACCCACAAGAGCACACTATTCCTCTACATTTGGGAATACCCAGCTTTCTAATGTTCACTTTTCTAACCACTGTAACGTGTTATCATTATTGTAATCCTTCAGGTTTCCTCTTCTATATTTTGCTCTTCCCTTTGGCCACCTTGGTACATTTTCAATAGTCCATAGGTTTTAGTTGTTGCAAAGTTTGTTTCCTAATCTACAGTCTGCTACCTTTATCCATGGGTCTTTGTTGAACAAACACTTTACTTTTACATGTGCTATCAATTTTTTTTGTTTTCTTTTAATGTTGTGTGTGAGAGAGTTTAAGAAGTCTTTTTTCCAATCCCAGATCAAAAACATATTCTTTTAATATCTGTTTCCTATTAACATGAAAGTCTTCCTTCATACATTTACATTGCTAATCTACCTAGAGTCTACCTTTGTATGTAGGCTTGCGAGGCAATCCCTTTTTATTTTCACCAGAGTAAATAGTTTTACATTGTTGAGTAAAACAATCCCCACTCCCCTCACTTGATTTGTGGACCCACTCTGCAATATCAAGAGTCCACATATATGCAAATCTATCCCTGCTCTGTTCCACCAGTCTGTTTTTTATCTCATCAATACCATAGTGTTTTTGTCACTATGGTTTTGTGTTAATATCCAATAGGGGAAAAGCCATTTACTCTTCAAGAGTGTGAATCTTTGGGGCAGCAAATGAATTTTAGAATGATTATTGATTCCACAGAAGATTCAACTAGAAATTTGGCTGGAATCACGTTGAATTTATAGTTCAAAGAGAAGTGGCATCTTTTCAGCCCATCCACGAGGCATGGGCTGTTTGCAGATTATCTTCTGCTTTATTTAGTTTTAAAATGCTTTCTACAGAAGAAATACATATTCCTGGTCAGTTCATACACTCTATTTTTTGTTGATATTGTGAATAGTTTATCTTTAGTTTTATTTTCTAATTGTTATTGTTGGTATAGAAAATTTGTTGATTTGTATTTGTTTTGAATCAGAACCCCTCACCAAACTCTTATTATTTCTGTTTGTCTGTTAATAGCTATTTTTCTAGCACATTATCTACAAATAATGAGTTTTTATTTATTTATTTGTTTGTTTGCAGTACTGAGGCTTGAATTCAGGCTCTCCATCTTGAGCCACTCTCCCAGCCCTTTTTTTTTTTTTTTTGTGAAGAGTTTTTTTGAGATAGGGTTTCATGCACTATTTGCCAGGGCTGGCTTTGAACTGCAATCCTCCTGATCTCTGCGCCTCCTGAGTAGCTAGGATTACAGGCATGAGCCACTGGTGCCTGGCCAATAATGACGTTTTAGTATCTCCCTTTAAAACTTATTTCTTTTCTTATGTTATTGTTTAGGACCTCTGTATTCAGCTAAACATAGTGGTAGTAGATGTTCTTGTCTTAATTCTGATTTTTAAATAAAATGCATCTGAAATTTCTCTATGACTCTCCTGCCTCAGTTTTCTCAGTAGTTGGGACCACGGGCACATGCCACCACACCCAGTTTAGTATATTAATTTTAATGTCTAAGGAAGTTCTCTCTTTTTTATCTTACCCCAAGGTACAGAAATTGAACCCAGGGCCTCGCCCTTTTTGTTTTTATTTTGTTTTGAGACAAGGTCTCACTACCTTTTTTGTCCAGTCTGGCCTTGAACTCATGATCCTCCTGCTTCTGCCTCCCAAGTGGCTAGGCCTACAGGCATGTGGCACTAGCCTGGCTCTGTTTTTGGTAAGAGTTTCTAAAAATCTAAATCAAGTAGCAAACTTCAAGTATTTTTTCCTTACTGATTAGAATATCTTTTTTCCATTACATGATTACATTAATGAATTACAATAATACATTTTCTGTGTTGAATCACATTTGCATTCCTTAGAAAAACTTTACTTGCTTTTAATACATTATTCTACTTTTAAATACCCTACTGGGTCTACTAAATGAGTATTTAAAATTTGTATACCTATATTCACAGACAAAATGAATCTATAATTTTCTTTTCTTGTTTTGCCTTTATCTGGTTTTATAGATTGGTCTTTTGTTTCTTGCTTCTTTCAGAAGGCCACATACTCTATATATAATAAATAATGAACACACACTATAGATGTTAACTCTAAAAATATTATCCTTTACTGGAAAATGTTAGGAAGAAGCCTTATAAGATGGTGGTACACACCTGTAATTCTAGCACTCAAGAGGCAGAGGAAAGAGGATGGCAGGTTAGATGCCAGTCTGTGCTCCATAACAAGAACCTATCTCAACAACTCTCCCCCACAGGTAAAGAAAGAATAGAATCAGATTGAGAACTTTAAGAGTCTTCATTAGTCCTACATACTATCTAAGAAGGTATTCAATTCTGTGCTTTAATTTGACTAAATTTAATGATACCACTATCTTCCTTTGAAACATCAAGATACAGAAATAAGAATGCAAAAAATCACCTTTGTTTAAGGTCACAGAGCTAACTATAGGAAGAACTAGAATTCAATCTGTCTGATTCCTACTCCTAGTTCTCCTACAAAAATGTATGTTAATAGATCTACAATAAACCTAGGACCATATTAAGTGTTATAAGAATTAAAAAACTCAATTAGTTTTAAAAAATTTGATATTCATAATCAAATCTTAATTTACATTTAATTATTCACCTTATTGGGCAACACTGTGCACACCCAAGGTTTTTGCTGTCCTTTTAACATGGCATGTAACCATACATCTGTTCTCTGGGGGACTTAACCACTTACCTTTCCCACAAGCTGTACAATTTCTGCCAGGTCTTCTTCTTCCTGTAGAATTTCCTTTGCTTTGGTCCTCAGAGGAACAAACTCCGTGAAGTGTTTGTCATAATACTCATCCAAGGCACGCATGTACTTGCTGTAGCTGATGAGCCAATTGACAGAGGGGAAATGCTTACGCTGAGCTAGCTTCTTATCTAAGCCCCAGAATACCTGATTAAAAAACAAGCAAAAAAACCCAAATAACTTTTCTTTACAAAGTTCAAAAAAGTATTGAAGTATGTTTGTGTGTCCTAAATATGCAAATTTATAATTTACTGCTTGAATTATGTATCTTTTTAGTATATACAAGTCTGATTGAAATAGAATATAAAATTTGTAGAACATTTTAATTAAAAATACATGTTTTTCATTTTCAGGGTGGGTAACACATGCAAATCAAATCCAAATTTTATCTGAATTCCCTTAATAGCATGCCAAATGTGACAGCAAAAGGAAAACTGACTCTTTTTAAGATTATTGTGGTACAATATAAACATAAGAACTAGAAAAGACTTACTGAGAAAGAACAGATACTAGTTTGACTGAACATCTCTAAAAGTTCTGATTAAATTCAGCTCCCTATTATTAAGGGCCAGTTGAAAAAAATTTGACATTCATTTTTCTGAGGCCAAACACAAGATATTTTATGCATTCTGAACTTTGTCCCATCTTCCCTCCTAATTTAAAATTCAAAATTTTACCAAATGTTAGAAATTACAATCGCTATAAATTTAGCCTTTGTCATTTCATTTGACACTGCCAGAGCACAGGTAAATATTCTGGTTTCTCACATGAATTATATATATTTACTTATGAGTATATCAACTTTAAAAAAAAAAAAAACTATAGCTGATGTACATACCTTTTATTTAGGCTTCTTTTAATGGCCAAGTTGACTAGCTAGCCATTAAACTCGTGCCTTGTCACAGAAGCAACTGGCTAGGCAGGAACTACATTTTCCAGTCTTGCTCTCATCTGGGCACAGTTAACAGAACAGGAGTGGAATGACTGTGTCACCTTTGAGCCCAAGGTTCAAAAGGTCTATGTGCCTTCTCTATGGTTTCTTCCTCTCCAGCCAGACACAGAAGAATACCACGATAGGTGATGGCAGAGCCACAGATGGAACAAGCCCTGGACTATAATCATGACTGAATGAAAGATGCTCACTTTTGATAGGATCATTTGCCTTGGACCATACTGCGAGGAGAAATAAACTTCTAGGTATTTTGCTATTATGCAGTTTGGTGCCCATTTGCTTCTATGACTAGGGTTACTCTAACTTAAATGGTAGCATAATTTTAACACTAATAAAACTTTGCTACCTATTATGAACCCTGTTACAAAGTTAAGAAAAACAGAGCATTAATGGATCTCAGGATCAAAGATGCTCTTAAAACATACTTTATCACTGCCTATTCTTTAGTGCTAAATTAAAAACTTCATGATGATTTCAATTATATTAGAATAACTTGGAGGCAGAGGGGAATAGCCCAGAAGATGACTACACTGGGGAACAACATACCTGAACAATACCCAGAGTAGCAGATGTAACCGGATCAGAAAAATCACCACCAGGTGGAGAAACTCTACATTAAAAAAATAAAAAAAATTATTATTAGAGATGTTGATAACAACAAAAAATAACTTCTATATGAAGTGATTTTTTGAAAATCTATTAACAAAGCATAATAGTGCTTATAAAAATAACATACACGAGTCAAATTTTTTGAAAGCTAATTTTAATGCAAATAATATTTATTTATCTACTTAACCTATTTTTGGTGCTGGGGATTGAACACAGGGTCTGAGATCACTGAGCTTTACCCACAGCCCTAACTTTTTGATGTAAATAACTTCAGAACTAAATGATCACTGACAAGAAAACCCTCACATAAAAATCTTATGTTACAAATAGGACAAGTTTGGTATTTTTTGGAGGGGGCACACTGGGATTTGAACTCAGAGTCTCACACTTGCTAAGCAGGTGCTCTACCACTTGAGCCATGCTCTGAGCCCTTTTTTGCTTTAATGTTTTTTGTTTGTGTGTTTCATTTAGGGTCTCATTTTTTTGGCCTGGGTTCGTCTCGGACTTTGATTCTCTTACCTATGCCTCCTGTGAAACTGGGATCACTGATGTGCTATACCAGGCTTGTTTGATGAGATGTAGTATTCCTAACTTTCTGTTGGGGTTAGCCTTAAACCATAATCCTAATAATCTATGTTTCCTGATTAACTGGGATTACATGCACTTACCACCATGCTGGGCACGAGGAACAAGTATTGAATGTCTTATACTATGAGAAATGAGACAATGTCTTATTGTAATCAGCTGCATTATTCTAATCAATAGATGAATCTCAAAGGAAGGAAAAGCTTCAAGAACAAAGTATGGGCTTTATGTAGTAATCACAAATCCTTACTTTGTTTTTACCATTACATGATGTCATACTAACATGACTATAATTTCTTAAATTATTCCTAAAATATTGTGACTTGAACCTAATCAGTGAAATCACTCCAACAGGACCCAAACATGTAAAGGTGATGCATACATCTCCCAAGAACTCCTTTGAAGCTCTGTGAATGACCTGGAGTGCAGCCCTACTTTAGAATTACTGCTCCTAGAGGAAGTTAATATTCTTTCTCTAAATAAATAACTTTTTTCTTTTGAAAAGTAAACAGCATGTAAACAAATTACATGCCTGTAATTCTAGCACTTGGAAGGCAAAGGAAGGAGGACTACAAGTCCCAGGCCAGCCCAGGCTACATAGAAACACCCTGCCTCCAAAAAAACAAATAAGCAAACAAACAAATAAAAAAAAAAGGAAAGTAAACAGTTTGTGTGCTTACGCTCCTACAATGCTGACACTCCCTTCTCTTTCAGGATTTCCAAGACATTTCACTCTGCCTGCTCTCTCATAGAAAGAGGCCAGGCGGGCACCAAGATATGCAGGATATCCACTATCTGAAAGACAAAAAGAAAATTTCAACAGCTCCTAAAACCCTGAAAGCGTTGATTACATGATAAGCAATGCAAAGACTTACCTGCAGGCATCTCAGCTAAGCGACCAGAGATTTCTCTAAGAGCCTCAGCCCACCTAGAGGTAGAGTCAGCCATCATGCTGACGTGGTAGCCCATGTCCCGGAAATATTCTGATAGTGTAATTCCTGTATTGGGAAGAATATTATGTGTTACAATGTCAGAACATAAAATCCTGACTTTTCCATTCTTAAGAAAACCTTAAAGCATAGTCCAGGAGGTAGCTGTTCCCCCAAATCTGTTCTTCCTCTTCTTCTGGGCACATAGCTTAACTATATTTGCTGGGATGCTCTGAATATAGATATGGCCATGTAACTCATCTCCAGCTAATGGCATGTGAGTAAAAAACAATGAGTTCCATGGCAAGTCACATACTTTCCCCATGTTCTTCTTCCTTCTGACCTACTGAGATGGAGAGAACTCCCTTCAGAAGCCCCTGACGTCAAGCATTGAAAACTGAAGCGCTCTTCAGCCTGGGCCCTAGTCCAGAATGGAAGCAAAGTGCTCCTTGACACCTGAAATAGCGTCTGTTATAGTGAACGACATATGTTTGGAATTATTTGATGCCACAGTCTAGCCTACCCTAATATAAAATACATTTTAAAAACCAGGAAAACAATTTGTTCTCTACTCTTTGTTGAAATAATTAAGTCTGAAATTAATTTTTAAGTGTAGATGCTCTACACTGTATATTACACTCACACATACATACTTAAAAAAACTCAAACAATTAGCTCTTTTTTAAAGAAAGTATCAAATGTTATTAAAATGATCAATTATCCAGATCTTTCTGCTATGTAGATTAGGTCACGTCCTATAAATTCACAAACGGTAAAACATTAACAAGAAGGTAACACAGACAAAGAAGTCCTCAGTTCTGCTTTTTATGCTGTCATTCACCTTAGCAAAATAACATGATTTCCCAGTGTAGTTTTTTAAGCAGTTAAAAGAGAATAACTATATACTTGCATATATCAAATGAAATGAAATATGTATGTAAATGTCTGCCAAAAAGTATAAAAGTACTATACACTCTAATGCCCTGAACTCCTTTATTTTACCAGTAATGAATCAGAAGCTTATATAAATAAAATGAAATAGTTGCTGGAAAATTTAGCACTTCACTGTGTGTCCTATTACATCACTCAGAATAAAAAACATACTGACTTCTAAGGCTTTCATAAAACTGTTTCATAAACAAAGTATTTAAAACACAATAGTTATCACTGATGGTAAGAACAGATCCTCTCTTTACAAGCATGGCTATGTTTTCAGTATGTGATGAAACATAATTAGTACTTGCATGCTTACATTAGAAAGACTTGGTAAAAGGACAGATACACAACAGTAAATGAGATTACTCTTACAGACTTACAGATACCAGTACTTAAAAGAAAGAAAAATACATTGGACAAAAATCAAGACAAGACTGGTAAAAGATATTTGTACTCATAATGCATGAAAAACAACTACCATCCAAAAGGTAAATGGGTAGAAGGCAGATTATGAATGGTTTAATAGGAAAAGATGCTAGTTTACTATTAGGAAATACAGATGGAACAGGTATCTAATAAATCAAGAATAGATAAAATGTCAATTGTCAAATCGAAGGTGTTTAGTAGTACATGAGTGCTCCCTGCAATTTACTTTCAGCTTGTCTATATGCTTGATAATTATCACAAGAAAGTGTTAAAAAAGCACTCCTATGGCTGTGCTGACATTGGTGGCTGTGCTGCCACAGGGGTCTTTGGCACTTCCCCCACTGTCTGCTGGGGTAGGAGGGATGTGGGAAATGCTATGGGTGGCAACCAGCTGCACTGAAGCCAGAGCAGCAGTGTATTAAAAATGTATAGTTATTACTACATTGTAACAGTCTCAAAATCTAATGCCTGGAACTTTATTTTACCACCCCCTTCTGCCTGCACATATGCTGGTGTTTTGAAACTGAGCTCCTTCCTGAAATTCACTTGCTTCAACTCTGCACATAGCCCACCAGCTCTGTAGCTAGTTCCTCACCAATGGATGGTCCTAAATTAGCAAGGACCTTGTTCTCTTTTGTGTTCTCAGACATGGCTCCCACTTGCATGGAGTTTCTCAGTTGCTTTTTAAAAAAGTTGCTCCCTTGGTAATCTGGATGCTAATCAAGGCCAAACACTCAACTGGGATCTGCATATGAACTTTTTCTTTCTTTCTCTGGCAGTACTGGGGTTGATCTCAGAGCCTCCTGCTTGCTAATCAAGCACTCTACCACTTGAGCCACTACCCCAGCCCTTTTTGCTTTAGTTATTTTTCAGGTGGGGTCTTGCATTCTCTTGGGGGTGGCCTCAGAATACGACCCTTCTACCTAATGTTCCCCTCATAGCTGGTTTTCACAGGTGCATCCCACCATATCCAGTTTATTGCTTGAGCTTGAGGGGAGGTCTCATTAACTTTTGCGCTGGGCTGGTCTCACCTCCCAAGTAGCTGGGATTCCAGGTGTGAGCCATTGCACCTGGCTTTGCAAATGACTTTTGCTGCAGGGTCCAGGAGACAGGAAAAGGTAGGGAGCTTTGACTCCCAAAACAGTAAGTTCAGCAAAGACCTTTTTTTTTCATTTTTCTTTTATTATTCATATGTGCATACAAGGCTTGGTTCATTTCTCCCCCCTGCCCCCGCCCCCTCCCTTACCACCCACTCCGCCCCCTCCCGCTCCCCCCCTCAATACCCAGCAGAAACTATTTTGCCCTTATCTCTAATTTTGTTGTAGAGAGAGTATAAGCAATAATAGGAAGGAACAAGGGTTTTGCTGGTTGAGATAGGATAGCTATACAGGCATTGACTCACATTGATTTCCTGTGCGGGTGTTACTTCTAGGTTAATTCTTTTTTGATCTAACCTTTTCTCTAGTACCTGTTCCCCTTTTCCTATTGGCCTCAGTTGCTTTAAGGTATCTGCTTTAGTTTCTCTGCGTTAAGGGCAAACAAAATGCTAGCTAGTTTTTTAGGTGTCTTACCTATCCTCACCCCTCCTTGTGTGCTCTCGCTTTTATCATGTGCTCATAGTCCAATCCCTTGTTGTGTTTTGCCCTTGATCTAATGTCCACATATGAGGGAGAACATACGATTTTTGTTTTTTGAGCCAGGCTAACTCACTCAGAATGATGTTCTCCAATTCCATCCATTTACCAGCAATGATAACATTTCGTTCTTCTTCATGGCTGCATAAAATTCCATTGTGGTATAGATACCACATTTTCTTAATCCATTCGTCAGTGCTGGGGCATCTTGGCTGTTTCCATAACTTGGCTATTGTGAATAGTGCCGCAATAACATGGATGTGCAGGTGCCTCTGAGTAACAGTCTTTTGGGTATATCCCAAGAGTGGTTTGCTGGATCAAATGGTAGATCGATGTCTAGCTTTTTTTAATAAGCCTCCAAATTTTTTTCCAGAGTGTTGACTAGTCAACATTCCCACCAACAGTGTATGAGGTTCCTGTTTCCCCGCATCCTCGCCAACACCTCTGTTGTTGGTGGTGTTGCTGCATTGATTGGCTATTCTAACAGGGGTTTGAGGTGGAAATCTTAGTGCTGCTTTAATTTGCATTTCCTTTATTGCTAGAGATGGTGGAGCATTTTTTCATTGTGTTTCTGGCCATTTGAATTTCTTCTTTTGAGAAAAGTTCTGTTTAGGTATATCCCCAAGAGTGGTATTGCTGGATCAAATGGTAGATCGATGTCTAGCTTTTTAAGTAGCCTCCAAATTTTTTTCCAGAGTGGTTGTACTAGTCTACATTCCCACCAACAGTGTAAGAGGGTTCCTTTTTCCCCGCATCCTCGCCAACACCTGTTGTTGTGGTTTGCTGATGATGGCTATTCTAACAGGGGTGAGGTGGAATCTTAGTGTGGTTTTAATTTGCATTTCCTTTATTGCTAGAGATGGTGAGCATTTTTTCATGTGTTTTCTGGCCATTTGAATTTCTCTTTTGAGAAAGTTCTGTTTAGTTCACTTGCCCATTTCTTTTTGGTTCATTAAGTTTTGGGAGAATTTAGTTTTTTAAGTTCCCTGTATATTCTGGTTATCAGTCCTTTGTCTGATGTGTAGCTGGCAAATATTTTCCCACTCTGTGGGTGTTCTCTTAGTTTAGAGACCATTTCTTTTGATGAACAGAAGCTTTTTAGTTTATGAGGTCCCATTTATCTATGCTATCTCTTAGTTGCTGTGCTGCTGGGGTTTCATTGAGAAAGTTCTTACCTATACTACTAACTCCAGAGTATTTCCTACTCTTTCTGTATCAACTTTAAGAGTTTGGGGTCTGATATTAAGATCCTTGATCCATTTTGAGTTAATATTGGTATAGGGTGATATACATGGATCTAGTTTCAGTTTTTTGCAGACTGCTAACCAGTTTTCCCAGCAGTTTTTGTTGAAGAGGCTGTCTTTTCTCCATCGTATATTTTTAGTGCCCTTTGTCAAAGATAAGTTGGTTTATAGTTGTGGTGGCTTCATATCTGGAGTCCTTATCTGTTCACTGGTCTTCATGTCTGTTTTTTGCCATAGTACATGGCTGGTTTTTTGTATTGTATCAGCAAAAGACCTTTTTAAGATGGCTCTGGATACTGTACCCATGATTATATGTTGGAAGGTACAGATGACTTCCCCCAGTGCCCAGATGTCCATTTAAGCAAAGCTTATGGTGCACTCCTAACTGAATCATAAGGAAGAGCCATGGGGTGGAAGGATTACAGGAATTCCCAAAGAAATGACAACAAATTGATTCCAAGATAGTGCTTTTGTGACTTGAGAATCGGAAAGGAAGTAAGTGTCCATGGCTTTTCCACTCTCCTTTTGGGTATACTGTCTTTCAGTGATTTTGAAATTTTACCCAATGCCTCTCTAAGTATGTGTCATAAAACACTTAGTTTTCAAAGGAAGTCTGGGAATTGCTTCCAGCTCTTTCTCCTTTCTAGATTCATAAATGCCATAGCCAGCCAATATAGACTCTCAGAAAGGTCCTAGTGAGTAAAAGGACGGAGGATAAAGCCATCTCTTTTGGCTCGTGTTCTCACAACTTGACCTTAGTCCTTGTTTCATGTACACTTAAGTAAATAAAGTTCTCCAACAATATACATGGAGGGGAGAGCCCCCCTAATGAATGAAAACCCCCAAACAAGAGTGAGAACCAACACAAGAAATTCATCTGAGGCTTATAATTAATCAGTATAGAAGCATCTGTAAACTAGGGATACATTCTGAAGAGCAAAACCAAGAATCCTTTGTTTGGAACTTTGCAAAGGGCTAGAAGGCTAACAAGCAATACTTCTTTGGAACCAGTTTGGCATCTAGGAAAAGTAGGGAGATAGAGGTGAACAAAACACACATAGGCACTCTCAATTTTCACTACATATAATGTGGCAAGGAAAAGAGAGAATTCATTGCAAATAGCTTACAGTGAGTGACTCCTGTTGGCAAAAGAGAAGGTTACCATGAAGAATTCCTAGGTATGGGTGTGGCTCAAGTGGTACAGCATCTGCTTAGCATGATGAAGGCCCTGATTCAAACCCCATCACCACAGAAAGCTAAAAAAAAAAAGCTTGTCTTCTTGGAGTCTTTACTCCCATTTCCTGCATAGGGAGCAGGAACTGTTTCTCCTTTTCCAACCCCCCATACTCCACCCTGTTATATTAAAGTGAATCCTTGCTAATACTTACGGACAGTCCCTCCATCTCCTACAAAGATGAGTAATAGTAATAATTAATACCAGTACAGATAACTAAACATAGTCAGAAAAAAGACAGAAGGGATTACAATGATGTCAAACAACAACAAACTGAGTAATACATCCTATCACACAATAAAATCTCAGGGACTAGCAAGATAAGAGATGCTTCATGAACAGAACTCAGCAAAGAGCTGGAAGAAAAAAGAAAACTATTGCAGAAATGGAGGTTTCGTTAGAATTAGCACAAAGAATAAACACCATTTATCCTGTGTACAGACAAAAGGTTAAATAAAAAGGACTGGAGAGGAAATGGTACATACGGAAAACAAATTAAGTAGATCTAGTATGTCTAAGCTGGGAGTTAAAAAAGACAGTCATGGTGAAAGAGAAAAAGTTTCATATAGAATTTTCAAACATTGTTTGAAATAAAAGACATATTCATAGACTGAAAGGGTACACTATGTTTTAGGAAAAATTATTCAAACTTATCAATATTGGGATATATCCTAATCAAATTATGAGATTTCAGATTTAAAGAGAAATTCTTTGGGCAAAAAAGAAAAATCACTTCTATAAGAAAAAGGAAAAATTCCAATGACATTCATTAAAGAGATCGAAAAATCTACTGTGAAATTTATATGGAAAACAACAAAGGCACGAAATAGCCAAGGCAATACTCAGTCAAAAGATACAATCAGGAAGGATCACAATACCTGACTTCAAACTATAATTACAAAGCAATAACACAACAAAAACAGCAAGGTACTGCAGCAAAAACAGACATGAAGACGCAGTGGAACAGAATAGAGGACCCAGATATGAAGCCACACAACTAATAACCAAACTTGTCTTTGACAAAGGAGCTAAAAATATATGATGGAGAAATAGCAGCCCTCTCAACAAAACTGCTGGGAACAACTGGTCAGCAGTTTGCAAAAAACTGAAACTTAGATCCAATGTATATCACCCTATAAATATTTAACTCACAATGGATCAAGGATCTTAATATCAGACCCCAAACTCTAAAGTTGATACAGGAAAGATGGAAATACTCTGGAATTAGTAAGGTATAGGCAAGAACTTTCTCAAGAAAACCCCAGCAGACCAGCAACTAAAAGGATAGCATAGATAAATGGGACCTCATAAAACTAAAAAGCTTTGTCATCAAAAGAAATGGTCTCTAAACTGAAGAGAACACCCACAGAGTGGAGAAAATATTTGCCAGCTTACACATCAGACAAAGGACTGATAACCAGAATATATAGGAACTTAAAAACTAAATTCTCCAAAACTAATGAACAATAAAGAAATGGGCAAGTGAACTAAACAGAACTTTCTCAAAAGAGAAATCAATGGCCAAAAACACAAAAAAATGCTCACCATCTCTCAGCAATAAGGAAATGGCCAAATTAAAACCACACTAAAGATTACCACTCACCCCTGTTAGAATAGCCATCATTAGCAAAACCACGAACAACAGGTGTTGGCGAGGATGCGGGGCAAAAGGAACCCTCTTACACTGTTGGTGGGAAATGTAAACTAGTACAACCACTCTGGAAAAAATTTGGAGCTACTTAAAAAGCTAAACATTGATCTACCATTGATCCAGCAAACCACTCTTGGGGATATACCAAAAGACTGTGACACAGGTTACTCCAGAGGCACCTGCACACCCATGTTTATTGCGCACTATTCACAATAGCCAAGTTATGGAAACAGCCAAGAATGCCCGCAACACGATGAATGGATAAGGAAAATGTGGTATCTATACACAATGGAATTATGCAGCCATGAAGAAGAACGAAATGTTATCATTCGCTGGTAAATGGATGGAATGAGAACATCATTCTGAGTGAGGTTAGCCTGGCCCAAAAGACCAAAAATCGTATGTTCTCCCTCATATGCGGACATTAGATCAAGGGTAAACACAACAAGGGGATTGGACTTGCACATGATAAAAGCGAGAGCACAACAAGGGGGGGTGAGGATAGGTAAGAACCTAAAAAATTAGCTAGCATTGTTGCCCTCAACAGAGAAACTAAAGCAGATACCTTAAAAGCAACTGAGGCCAATAGGGAAAAGGGGACCAGGAACTAGAGAAAAGGTGAGATCAAAAGATTAACCTAGAAGGTAACACACATGCAACTGGAAATTAATGTGAGTCAACCCCTGTATAGCTATCTTATCTCAACCAGGAACACTTGTTTCCTTCCTATTACGCTTATACCCTCTCTTCAACAAAATTAGAGATAAGGGCAAATAGTTTTATGCTGGGTATGAGGGGGTGGGGGTAGAGGGAGGGGGCGGAGTGGGTGGTAAGGGAGGGGGTGGGGGCAGGGGGGAGAAATGACCCAAGCCTTGTATGCACATATGAATAATAAAACAATAAAAAATATATATATATAAAAAAAAGAAAAAGGAAAAGGCCAGTGTCAGATCTTTCCCCAACATTTAATGCTAACTAAGAGTTTTCAAGGAAAGAAATACTGATCCAAGAATTTTATATTCAGCCAAACTTTGGATAAGCATTTCCACTTCATAATTAGATACATTATTTTATGGAAAAAATGATAGTAAACTAATAGACAATAAGGTATATGAAAGTTCACATATATAAATGTTTTATCTTTTTTTCCAATAAAAGTAAAAACCACCAGACCATAACAAATATTGATCCAAGAATTTTATATTCAGCTAAAATACTGTTAAAACTTTAAAGGCCATGGTACAATGCCAAACTTATGAGGAAATACGAATTCAGAGAACATAGCTTCCATGTGCCTTTCTTGAAGCAACTTGCAAACGGCAAATTTTGACCACATAAATAAATGGAGAAACTGTAGCCAAAGGACTGCAAGTGGACATTACATTAGATCTAGAGCAAAATTAAATACTGGCTTTATTGTTCCAGAACAGAATATAAATTTAGTTAAGTTCTGAAAATGGAGAAATATAAGGACTAGAAGCTGGGATAAATTGGGTGCTTAGTTGTTAAGGTAACATGTGAACACGCCAGTTTCTTATCTTTTACATCACCAGTCAAAATATAATAATTTAAAACTAATAACTCAAGTTATAGATGTATAAGTATATTTAAAGACAGATTAATGGTACAGTATGTAATGAAGAAAAGGTAGAAGATACAATCATTTTATGGCATTAAGACTGGGACACTTTACCTTCATTTTATACTCAAGATATGATAAGCAAAATATTTCTCAAGAGCAAGGAATGTGATCATATGAAAATATTTTTAAATGAAAGAAAAGTTCTTTTTAAAAGGAAAAGTTTATTGCTAGTGGTAAACTTAAGGAACAGGTATTAAATGCTATTATTCCAATTGTAACTCACCAGTATAAATAGAGGCTTCTCTAGCAGCTACAGGCATGTTGGAGGTATTGGCTACCAAAGCTGTCCTCTTCATGATTGACTCTACCTTGCCATCAACTTCCATAGTGAGCTAGAGATGAAAAAATCCACTAGTGACCCTCTAATTTCTAAATGTAGCATTTTACTTACCCCCCCTTTTAGTTACAACTTGTCATATTTAATTCCTCTAATGGGTATTCCTAAAGTAATATTTGCTATCACTCCAGCCTTCTTCCCGGCTCCATAGTGCTGTGCTATAAAGATAGATATTATTTTCATTTTGTAAATGAAATCTATTATTTTACACAAAAGGAACTATTATTATAGTCACCCAATAGGTCACAAAGCCTACATAAAGTTCTCATGTATAAATGTTTTGTCTATTTCATCTGTTTCCCAACAAATGAAAAATAGATCGCAGAAAAAATTTCAAGTGACTGACTTCGAATAATTCAAATTTCATTGAATATGCAAATTAACCACAATTATTAATTTTAAATTTCTTAAAGATCCTTTACAAATGACAACATTGCTCTAGACAAACCCAGATGTTTATTAATTACCAATGAAAATCGGTATGTGGGATTTTTCCCTAGAATATTATTGAACCTTTCTACATACAGACCTCTGGGAAGTCTCGGAGGACTTCAGACATCTCATTTCCTCTTTCACCACATCCTACATAGATGATCACATCACTATTGGAATACTTGGATAGAGACTGAGATATCACTGTCTTTCCACACCCGAAAGCCCCAGGGATAGCCGTCGTTCCTCCCTGAACACACCTAAACAAAGACAAGGAAGTATGGATTATTCTCCTTGCTAATAAGTGCTATTAAGTAAAGCAGGTAAATGACACAAAAATACAAGTTAAGGAAAGAAAGCATGTTAAAATATTTTTACCTATACATACACACACAAGATATACAGACACAGAAATAACTTCCTCCTTATTTGTGCCTACAATAGTATATGTTTTTATTTCCATTAATCATCTCTATTATCTATAATAGTTGAAAAAATGAAAATAAATTCCATAAGGCACCTGGGGAAGATGGGTATGAAAAAAAGCTGGGTGTCGTGGTCCATGCCTATGATTCCAGTTATGTGGAAGCAGAGGCAGGAAGCTTTTGGTCTGAGAACAGCATGGGCAAAAATGTGAGACCCTATTTGAAAATTAAATATAGCAAAAATGGCTGGGGGTGTGTGGCTCAAGTAGTAGAGTACTTGCCTAACAAGCCCTAAGTACGAAACCCCAGTACTGACAATAAATAAATAAGTAAATAAAATAATACTAATGACATTCTGAATGCTTATATAAATTAGTTCATGAGAATATAGGAATTAACTTTTGAAACTTGTCTCCTGAGTAAAAAAAATAAGACCATAAAATTCATCTGTTGTTATAAAGTTTATGCTTTGGTAGTTCAAATAAGTATATATATATATAAGGTCATCTTGCTATAAAGTGTAACGAACAGAGTTTTGTTAAGGTGTAAGTCAGCCTTTTATTACTCAACAACTAATACATACTTTCTAAAAGCTTGTATTAAAACTGTGCTTAGAAATGCTACAGAGAACAAATAGTTAATAAGATAGTAGTTTCTATATTCACAAAACTCAGCTTCCAGTGGGATACACTGGTGAAATTGACTGGTGATCATGGTACAATTTAGCAGTCACTTTCAAACTTTCCCTAAAAAGTAACAGTGAAGAGTAGAGTACTCTTTAGGGAAGAGCAAAGTACATGTGTGGTTGGGGAGGGACTGGGTAATTGAAATGGAATTTAATGCTAAGCAAAATGTTTTTATCATATGTTTTACCATAAAAAAAATCATAGAAAACTTGCATTCATAATCACAGTAACAGATTTTTTTCAATATAAAACTAATGTGCACTAAAATCAGTGTATTCAACAGACTATGAAGGCATGTCACATTTCTCCTGTGGCTCAGCATACTTTTGTGGATCTTTAATCTGGGGTGGGGATGGGACCAGGTGTGCACCAATTTGGAAATTCAACAATCCAATGTAAAAAATGCTATCAAAGCGAACTTTGGGAATATATGGGAAGGGGTGTAAAATCTGCCACTGGATTTGAGTGGGATTAGGAAATTCTTCCTAATAGTTAAGACCTGAAAGGAAATAAAAATTAGCCACATAAAGGGAAACAACAACTCAAGCATAGGCAACAGCATGTCCAAAGGTCAAGGGGCAAGAGAGACAGACCACTGCTTGAGGAATTAAAAGTTAATATGCATGACAGACAGTGTTTAAGGAAGCAGATGAGCAGTCAAGTGGCTGAGACAAGGCTGGAAAGTAGGCAAGAGCCAGATCATGGGTGGTTTTGTGAGGAGTTATGGATTGTGTATTTCAGAGCAATGAAAAATATCTTAAGCATTCAAGTAAAGCAGTGCAGGATCATACAGGTGTTTTAGAGGGACCACTGTGTAGTATGGATAGCCACCTATTTAGGGCCAGGGAAAAGAGATTAAATTACCCCTGTATAACGAATATACACTAATGAAAATTTATAAAAAATATTTAGAGAACAGAATAAAAACACTTTGAACAATTACATATGGAAGGGTGAAATCAATCCTTGAGAGAGTCACAGATTTTAGATTAGGCATCCACTAGATGAAAGATAATGACATTTGTGAAGAGATAACAAAAATGGGAAGTGACAATGAAGATGATTTTGTTTTTAACGTACTGACACTGAGGCACTTGCAAGACATTCAGAAGCAAAGGCACAATCAGCAGTGGAAGGCAGGAGACATAGCTCAGTGGCAAAGCACTTGCCTAGGATCTATGAGTCTAGAGCTCATGAGAGGTCAGGGATAAAGATACAGATATAAGAGTCATCATATGTAGATGTATATTTAAGTCAGAAGAGTGGTAAGATGTAGAATGAAGACAGAGGCCTTAGAAGAGGGAAAAATCCTAAGAAATACTGAAACTTAAGTGAGAAGTTTGCAACAGAGGACAAGAACTTGTTGACAGATGTTACCAGGAAGAACAAAGAAAGACAGTGTTTCAAGAGAAGGCAACATTCAAATCAGAAGGGATTTAAAAAAATACTAAAATTTAATTCTTGAAATTATCTACTATGGAGTTGACTGATGACACCAGTGAATATTGGGAGTGATAAAGCCAAGGTCAGGGTGCAGTGAATTAGAGTGGGAGAAGTGGAGCCAACTCACTTAATTCTTTTAAAAGGTTTGGGCATAAGCGTGAGGAAACAAACAGTGACACGTAGATAGACATAAAGGGGAAAGGAGAGTTTTTTTTTATTAGATAGGAGAGGGAAGACAACTTACAGACAGAGGTCCTTGGGGGAGACAAGCACAAGGTAAGCACTAGAAAGAGGAAAGGAAGAAGAAATGAATGGGAATGTACATTAAGTGAGTCTAATGGTGGGAAACAGAAGAGTTTCAAATCTCACAATCTCTAATTCCTTAGTGAAGGCTCTATCATGATCATTTGTAGAGAAAAGAGACAAAAGGGTAGAGTTGGAGATCTGAGGCAAGTAGAGCAGTGTGAAGTAGCTGCTGAGAACAGGAGAGAATCATAACTAGGGAAATGTAGGACCGTTACACAGCAGTAAGGTTAGATACCACTTAAACTGATTTACTGATTTTCTCAGCAGCTTGTGTGCAGTTAGATAGATAGCTGGACTGACTGACAGTTTGGATTGTGCCAGGACAGTGTACAGAATACAGAGGAATAAGATTTACTACTGGTAAATATTCATAGGAATGATAGACTACAGAGTCTAAGCTAAATAATAAAGGATATAGAAACAGGAGGCTCTGACTAAGAAGGATGGAGATCGTCTGAGAGAGTAACAGTCAGAGCAACTCAGAGAGCTCTGAAGGATCAGAGATGGCAATAAGAGTGCATGGAAGGGCTGCAGATGTAGTTCAGTGATACAGTGCCTGCTTAGCCTGTGGGAGGCCCTGGGCTTTAGCCTCAGCACCAAAAGAAAAAAAAAAAAAGAGAGTTTATGAGTTGAGGGAGTTCCTGCCTCATAGCTTCAGTCTTTTCTGTGAATTATATGATGAAGTTATTTGTTAAAAATAAAGCAGACTATGATAAAGTCTGAGATTTAAAGAGAAAGGAGAAGGTTTTTAAGAAAATGGAAAACAGCAGACTAACAAATTAAAATTGCTGGCAGCATACAGAACTTAGTTGGTTATAGAAATCAATTTATAGTAATACCAATCTACTAATTCTAGGATAACTTAAGAAAGGTAGTTATATTGTTTTGGCATAGATATTGTTCTGGAAATTTAACTTTTTTTCAGAAAGTTTTATAAGTAATGCTTTTTGTACACTTGTGTGTGGGGAAAAACCTTTTTCAAGTTTGACTCTGAACTATTGGCAAAAGATAAATACATTCAACTAGTGCACCATTATTTCTGTAGATAAAGTTTATGATTGTATTAAATACATAAAACCTTTATCTTTACAGATAATGAAAAGATAAATACATATAATGATTGAGGGAAAACTGTGAAATACATGTCAAACTTACGGAAAAAGGGCATCAAGGACTCTCTGGCCAGTGAGTAAAGGATGATTGGCTGGCAGTTTCTCAGTGACAGGCCGAACCTGGCGGACAGGCCACACCTGGACCATGCTGAACTTCTCCTTTACACCTTCAAACTCGAGCTCCAATACAACATCCTATAGAAGCAGCGAGATTTTAAGTATGGTCAAGTTTACCAATGTCTCTTTCTCCAAAATTTTAAGTATCTCCAGATTCTTCTTGGGGATAGAAAGGTGATACACAGAAGTAAGAAAGGAGATTTATTCTTTTAATTGTGAATCTTTATATAAGGTCCTATTTTTTAAGCAGGTACATTACAATTTTAATGATTAAAAAAGTTTAGTGAAAGTTTTTTGGAAAGGAGTATACAAAGGAACAGAGTAGTCAAATTATATGTAAACGCACAGGAAAGTCTCAAAGGATATACAAGATGCTGCTTAGACTAGGGCGAGGTGAAAGTTTCATAATTACTTTCTATTCTGTTTTGTTTATTTTATTATAATGATCTTAAATGAAAAATATCTGAGCCAGGGGTGGGGCAGCACCCCTGTTAAGAACCCTAAAATATTAAATAATATTAGATGTTTTGAAGTATTTAAATTAAATATTTACAAAAACAAAAAGGTAAAGATAACATGATGACACTTGTAAACACTGAGATGGTTTCAGCTACTCACAAAGTTCAAGGCCCTGTGGAAATCTGCAATTTTGTTGATACATGAATTTGAGTTGTCTGCTGTAGGGCTGTTCCTCCATTTGGGATGAGTGAGTTTCTAAGCTACAGAGGAAGTCTAGAAGATTGCCTAGAATTCCAATCTTAACTCTTGTTCTCTGTATGTTGTAGAGCACAGACTTATGCTTGTGAAATGATAAAAATTATTCCTTACTACATTTTATAAGAAGGAAATTATGTTATAATGGTTTTCTCATAGTTATCTTTATACCTATAGACACTACTATTACTACTACAGCTCTATTGTGTTTAATATTATGTAAGTATAAACAAAATTAAAGGGTTAAATTTTAAAGGAGGATTTCACATAATCCATTAAACAATTAACTATGTGATTACTGATTAACAATTAAAAATCAAGGCTTGTTCATTCTATGCCTAAATAAATAAAGGATTTAAGCAAATGTACTAGCAGCTGGGTGCCAGTGGCTCACACCTGTAATCTTCACTACTTGGGAGGCAGAGATAAGGAGGATGACGATTTATGCTAACCTGGGCAGACAGTTCACAAGACCCTATCTCAAAAAAATCCACCACAAAGAAGGGCTGGCAGAGTGGCTCAAGTGGTAGAGTGCCTGTCTAGCAAGTGTGAGGCCCTGAGTTCAGACCCTGGTACCAAAAATAAAGTAAAATAAATATACTCTCAGTTAAGAAGTTAGGAAAATGTTATACTTCTTTAAAAAGAAACCCTATGATCCACTTTTTGTATTCCCAAGTCCAAGTTAAATAAAAACACTCTTAAGAATAACTGTAGGTCTGGAGATGTAGCTCAGTGGTACAGTACTTGCTTACTACGTATAAAGATCTGCGCTTGATCTCCAGCACAAAAACATATATATATATATATATATATACGCATATACATATGCAAATATATGAGTTACTCAAAACCTTTACATTAAATATTATTTCTTTAACTACTTAGTGCGCTAAAACTAGTTGTGTATAGAAAGGGCCATCCTTTTATACATAAAGTCCAAAAGATACTTACAGAAGTATCATAATTCCCAGGTGGAGCAATGTAAGTTACGGTTCCCCTGTTTCGTGGAGGTAACATGATTTTGTGTTTGATGAGTGAGTTTTCTTTGACAATTCCATAAATATCTCCACCAGTGATATGACTGCCAACCTTGAGAATAAATGCATTTACTGTTTAATGTTCAAATAAATGTCAAGTAGACTCACCCCTGCTCCTATACTTTAAATCATTTTGCATTACTTATCAAGAAAACATCAGTTCTACAATTATTAGTGCATTTAAGAAAAAACTTTAACTTGTATTTCCATAGTCTAATTTTATTTGGACTGAATACACTTAACATTCATTTCACATTCTTTCACCAGCTTTAGAAATTTTAGGTTATACAGACATACCCGTAGGTTTTTGCATGGTGTAAAATCCCATTTGAGATCTCTGCTAAGAGCAGACACATTCACTCCTCTGGGAATGTAGATACTTTGGGTCTGACTACTGATATCTGACAGAGGCCTTTGAATGCCATCAAAAATGGCTCCCATAATGCCAGGACCAAGTTCTACTGAGAGGGGTTTACCAGTGCGCAGTACAGGGTCTCCAACAGACACACCAGCTAGAAACAGTGATTAAGGAAAACTTACACCAGCAGAGTAATATATATGACTTGAAAGAAAACAAGAATATTAATTTGAGTCTTAAATAACCACAATTCTTTTGAAAAGGAGAAGGTATTTGCTTGATTGGGCACTGTTTAATTTTCAAATCTTGTAATTCAGATTGATTTTATCTACTTGCTTTTTAGCTTAGCAATATCAAAAAACTGAGCTTAGGGCTGGCAGAGTGGCTCAAGTGGTAGAGTACCTGCCTACCCAGTGTGAAGCCCTGACTTCAAGTCCCAGTACAGCCAAAAATTGAGGCTGGGATGCAGTTCAATGGTAAATTGCTTGCTTAGTATGCATGAGGCTCAGGGTTCAATCCCCAGGACCAAAAAATAAAAGACAAAAACAAACAAACAAAAAACCTGAGCTTTACAAACATATGACACTATTGACAAGAAAAATGAAGCAAAATAATGAAACTGTCTATTATCTTAACCTACTAGTTCATGTAGTGTCTGACAAGATATCTACTATTCTTGTGTTAACCTCAAAAATTTAAAGTATCCTGGGCACCACATGAGTTTGCTGCAGTTGCCCAGACTACCTTTGCACAATTTTGGAACCACAGGACTAAAAATAGAAGCAAAAAAACCTCTCACTAATTCATCATTTCAAACATACTACTAAAGAGTAGCAGTATACTTCTAAGAAGAATAGTAGTATCTGGGCAAAAACTTAAAATCTTACTAGCTGAGGAAGTGACTTTGAGAAGGAAAAGAATAAAACTTGCAAATATGCATAGTGAATCCACCTTGTTCTCTAGCACTCATTGGTTGGAGAAAAATAGTACAACTTTAATTGAGAGCAATTTAGCAATATCTATCAGAGTTAAAAATGGATAAACTGTGAATTCATACTACAGCTACACTATAGCACTATTGATAACACAAAATTTCTATCAAGAGACTTGATTAATTATGGTAAACCCATAGGATGGAATTCTATGTAGCTATAAAAAAGAATAGGAACTTTGATGAATTGCTCTAGAAAGGGTCTCCCAAATACATGATTTCATTCCCAATATCTGATTATGAATTTTTTTCTTTTAAAAATCTGTAAACCTACAACAAAACTGAAAGAATTTTTCAGTGAATACCACTAACTCAACTACCTAGATTTTATAATTAACATTTTATATATTTCTCACATTATCTACTCATCTACAGTACAGATACTTTTAGGTGAAAATAAGTAAAGTACAGAGTAGTACATCATTTATTTTAGATCTTCAATTTATACAAAGGAGAGATTAAATATGGGCTCGGGGTGTATCGTGGTTCTGAGTGCATGTTTAGCATGTGTGAGACCCTGGGTTTAATCCTGAGCATCCCTGCTAAACATGACTTCTATTTTTTTAGGTGTGATTTTGTTTTTCATTAGGTTACTAGTTATAGGGAAACTAGTAACCTTCAAGTATACATTTTAGAATGGCAAAAATGTGGTGTGAAATAAAACATGATTAAACACCCAATGAATTAAGGCTGATCTTGAGAATAAACTAAGTAAAAGACATATATTAAAAACATGATTCTTCACAAGGTTAACTCTTATCTCTTTTTCCATAGGAAACTGAAAATGACAGTATGCTTAAAAGCCAACATGATACTAATCAAAAAGGATTTCCTAGCACTGAGGCTGTAACATAACATGTCATCCAGTGCTACCCATTAGAATAAAGATAGAGACTACTGACTGGGTTTAATTATGGATTTTTTTTTTTAAAACAGAAAGCACAATTGGAGGACTTTAACTACACAAATCAATACTGTTATTATATTTATGCCATCTACAATATGCGTCCTTCTAAAAAGAAAGTCCTATTGGATCTCCCAAAGTTTGTGAACCACTAAGGCATTAAGAACAGTGAGAGTTCAGAACATAGTACTAATTTCTTCAAATAACAGCACTAATTCCAGTGCTTTTTTTCCTTTTTAACATACTCATGTAAATCAGGTCTCTTCAGAACATCTACATTTCATGCTTCTAATGTCACTGGTTAGTGGTATCTTTGGCTTAAATCATAAATTTCAACAGAGAAAGTGGCAGAAAACTTTACAAAAAAAGGATACATGTTTCTTCATATACTTGAATAGTAGCCATGTCACCTTCTAATCGAATAATCTCTCCAACCAACTCACTGTGGCCCACTCTCACCAATTCATACATGGCTGCACCTGCCATGTCACAGGCTGTAACCACTGAGGAGAACAAGAGACTGTTTTGATGACTTAAGACTTTAATGCTCTGTGAATGATTACAGATAATTTAAACATAACAGTAAATCCAACAGCATGTCCTTTCATAAATTCATAACTCCCACTTTGGAACATTCCCACAGTTTCACATAAAGATGTATTTTTAAAAATGATATAAAGAGGTAAACAGAACAAACCTGTTAGACTAAAGGTTATTGATTTACATAATATAAATGAAAACTAGTTTCAAATGTTTGACGTTCTATGTGCAAACTTTTATGTGGTAATATTGAGGTCCATGCTGACCAACCCAGGTTACTGTAATACATGTAATGATGGATTTTGGGACAATAAAAAACCAAAATTTTAAAATTAGAATAAGAGTTTTAGAATGCCACACAGTTAACAGTTTGCTAAACTGTCACCATTTCTCTTGAGAGGTAGCATTTTTGAAGTAGCATCTTTTCTCTTAACATGTAAGAACAGAGATTCTTAAAACTTTGTTTGGGACAAGGACATTTTTGATAACTAATGATAGCTATACATAGAAAAACTCACACATGCAACTCTAAATAGTTTCTTAGATCATAGGATGTTTATAATTAGTCATCATCACTGGACAAGATACCAAGTAAGAATCCCTATTTCTTATAAATACGGAACTAGAATTAGAACTTACTCTTTTGGACCATATTATCTAATAAGCAAAATTTATTTTTTTGGAAGAAAGAAGGTTGCATTTTAAGAGATTCATTCATAATAATTAGCCTCCTGATGTAACTGATTAGAACCATGGGGCCTGGCAGAGTGGTAGAGTGTCTGCCTAGCAAGTGTGAGGTCAAGTTCAAACCTCAATACTGCCCGCCGTCTCCCCCCAAAAAAAATACACAAGAGAAAAAAAGAACTATGGAGAGACATTATTTCAGTATTAATACTACCAAAGTATTGATATTTAATTAAACTACATTAGAAAACAAAAGATTTCTTCATTTCAAAAGTACTTCTACATCTTACATATAGGAAAAATTAAGATGCACTGAAATGGTATTTCATAAGCCAATAAGGATGTCATTTCTACATTATTAAGTACTTAGGAATTAGAAATTGGGGCAGTATATGGCACATTTCCACACAATATTTTTACCTAAACTCTTTGGTGTTGTTCTTTTGCCTTTTCTCTAAAAGTTCTATGTGTAGTCTGTTTGTCCTAAAGACCTTTATGATTGTTGAGGTGAAAACTATTTCTCTAAATGGCAAAAGAAACTGAAAACAGTGAAATGTTTAACTTTTTATTACTTGCCAAAGAAGCTCAAGATCAAACAGCAGTTCTTGGAGAGGAAAAACAAAAAGCGTGGGGGAAGGGAGATGTAACAGTAACAAATCAATGAGAAGGTTTCATCTCAGGAAACTATGAATAGCTTTTTGCAGTGGCATTATTTAATTACCAAAATGAATATTGAAATGAGTGTATTATTCAAAAAGAAATACACCAAGGTTTGGCAGAATGGATATTAAGTTTAAAACTGCTTTCCAGGAATGAAGGCATGGCTCAAGTGGTACAATGCCTGTTTCACAAGTGCAAAGCCCTGAGTAAAACCCCAGTTCCACCAAAAAAATAAAATAAAATAAAATAAAAATTCTTTCCACTATCAGTATCAGGTCATAAGACTTCTTTTCCATAGGTAGCAAGTTATGTGACATCTAAAGTAATCATTCAGGTGAATGTATAAACCCACAGAGGAAAAGCTGGTATTAAGAAATGCTCTGAAGACAATTATTAAAGTTCAAAGTAAATTAACAGAGATTAGCTGAATGTCTATAATTTGTAAGGTAACACATATTAAAAACCATAAACTTTAAAGCTTTTTATTTCAGATTTAACAAAAAAATTAAGATATACAGGTAAAACTCTAAACACTAGTTATACATTGACTTAAAATAAACAGTATCACAAAGTAGCACTTCAGTAACTATCAAATTTATATGCTCAATGCTAGATGAAGCCTTATGATGCAGATATTACTTCAGTTTTACAGCCATTATACAATCTTTTAAGAACAACAACAACAAAAATCACGTATGTGAACAGAAACTTGTGTATTTCTACTTAAATCACCTTGAAAAGCCACTAATCAAAGTTGAAAATCCTTAGGCTTGAGATGATTAAGTCTTACTTACCAGGTCCTGAGACCCCATGCACATAACCAAATGTGCTTTCTCTATCTTCATCAAGTATTTTGGGTAGCTTGGAGAAATCCATTATGTTAATTTACCTAAGGCAAAAAAAATTAAGTTATAATTATAAACCCTAAAACAAAAGAACATAGGTGGCCAACTCTCATCTTTGTTGTATTCTTAAATTGTTATATTTTTTTCACAGTAAAATATAGAATTCTTAAAACTTAGCTAAAACTAAGTCATTCCTAGATGTTTTATGGTTATAAATTATAATAGCCAAATTATATCTCTATGCTGCATATTCCATAGGAAATACCAAGGAAAAACAACAAAATCTTTTCAATTATTCATCCATCCCTTCAATACCTTCTTTTTCCTAATTATCTCTGACTTCCTTGCGAAGTATTCCTAATTATTTCATACAGCCTCACAGCCTTTTTTGTACAGGCTGTTCCCTTCTCCTAGAGTGCTTTTTTTCCCAGCTCTAAATCTCCTTCAGGTCTCTATTCAAATGTCACCATCAGAGGCTGCTCTGCCTATCTATTTAAATTGTAACTTCCCTCTTTCATTCCTTGCTTTATTTTTTAGTACAGCATGTTTCACTATGTAACAAATTATATATTTTATACTTAATTTTTTATTAACTCTCTTTAAATAGAAAGTTTACTTTTGGCTGCTTGTCTAACTTAATAATTATTGACAATTTAATATGAGAGATGAAATACATGTCCTCAAACTGCTATAAAGTTAGAATCGAAATCATTAGGTGATAAAGTGTCAAGTTATATATACTAACTTAGTAAATGTTCAAGGATTATAATGTTTAAGGAAGACATCTTGAAGGTCAGGTAGAAATTGCATAATACGGTAGGAAAGGAATGATAGCAAACACATTCCAGATGAGGCAATGATAAAAGAGATAGAATATTCAAGAATAGCAAAGAGAATGACTGGTACAAAAAGTTTATATTAGGGCAACAGTGAGAAAGAAGGATAAACTAATAGATAAATCAACTGAATGTCAAGAAAAGTAGTATACTTTACTCTATGAAAAAAAGAAATGGCTGGAGATTGAAAGAGTACTAATGAGAAGACCGGTGTTCAATTCTCGCATATCAATGGAATTCAATCTATTAAATGCATGCTGAGGGAGCTACTGGCTTCTGGGCTCCACTACTTCTCTAGCTGTAGCCTTTCCTTTCTCTCTAATAAATCCCACTTTATATAAAAAAATAAATTAAATAAATGCACGCTGAGTGCTTCTTAAGGGAAAGGTACCTATGTTAAGCTTAGGAATGAGTTGAGTCAAACACTTGACTATTTTCAAGGAGCCTTTGCTGGCTTTACAAATTTGCACAAAAGCAAAATATCCTAGGTGCTCAATTGAGGTAAAATCAATATATTGAGAACAAAGGAGAAACTGACTCCAACATGGAGGAGAATGTGGGAGAAATACAAGTCAATGTAGCAGAAGTATAACTGAGGTCAGTTGAGTCTAGATAAAAAGAACAGAGCAGAAAACCAAATCCTAAGCTTCAGTGACTAACCTAAGCAGGACTGAGCAGTGTTTTTCAGTATTTTGGAGCCACTGAAGGACTGGCAACCATATATATTCCATGGTACATAATTTGTAATCTACTAGTTAAGATATCAAAAAATTGGGGAGGCAATATAACAGTGAAGTCATTAACGGTGAAGTATTGGTTTGATTTAGTGCTATAAGAAGGGGGATGCTTGACAAGGCTAAAAAAGTAGAACTGAATGATTCTAACCAAACTATGGAGACAGTAAAGTGATCAATAGTTACCGGAGCTCATAAGGAGTGAAGGATGAATGACCAAGCAGAGTAGAGGGTTTTGGAGCAGTGAAGCCTCATGACATTGTAGTGGGAAGACACATCACTAAACATTTGTCCAGGTACAAGGAGTAACAGTGATGTGTCATGCGAGTTTCGTTAATTTTAATAGCATACTGCTCTGTTTGTGATGTCGATAATGAGGAAGGTTACTACCCCTGTGCTGGGCAGGGGTGGAGTATATGGGAAATCTCTGTACCTTCTGTTCAATATTATTGTTATTCTAAAACTGATCTGAATATAAAGCCTTTTTTTTTTTTCTGAAGAGTCAGGGTGAAAACAAAGATTAAAACCACACAGAGAAATGGGAAGCCTTACAGGTGAGCAGAATATGGTGAAGAGGTTACAGAAAACAAGAACACAGAGATAGGAGACTAGCAGCAAGTTGGTAGTTATTGATACAAGATGAAGATAGGGTTCAAGTAGTTGGACATAATGGAACTGAATTAGAAAGAACCAAACAAACCACATAGTATAGTCACCAATGCCATAAAGGAAACAGATTCTAGTGTCCTTGTAGGGAAATTAAATTGGAAGATGAATAGTCAAAAAAGGAAGTAAAGAATAGAGAAAATTAGTTTACTAGGAAATTTGGCTTCCTGAGTAAGAGCAGGTATGGGATTGAAAAGACTAACATATAAAGAGTCAAAACAAGATTGTCTTGTCTACAAACTACTAGGTGATAGGACCAAAGTGAAACAAAATGTAAAGATAGACACAGAGAGTTAGGAAATGGGTTGTGAAAATCTTCAAAAAGTAGTGGACAAACTAGTAAGGTCGAATATCAGTCTTCAGAAAAATCAAACACTTTTCAAAGTCACCTGACAATCATCTAGACTACCTTCCTCCCCAAATATGGGTATTTCCTCTTTAGCATTCATGATACATGGTCATCTGCCTATATTAAAAGTGGAAACACCATCAGATCATGAGTCAGCAGACTTGGGATTATATTCTAGTTCTACCATTACATTCTAGTCTACTGTAAGACAAACCGGACAAATCAAAATCTCTTAGTATCTTCATTTGAAGAATAAACTACTACTTAAGTTGTGATTAAATCACACGTTTTAATTTTCCTTGCAAAATAATGCTTACAACAATTTCATCAGTAATACCATTCGAACAGCACCTCAACTTTGAAAAAGCTGTTCTACTTTCAGAAATTTCCTCTTAAGAATTTTGCCTCTCTACAACAGTTTAAATCCATTTCCCTATAACTTTCACCCTCTTGTCCTCTCAATTTCGGAAGCCAGAGTATGTTCCCTCTTCAAACAAATCCTCCTTAGGGCCTCTGCTGTCCCTCAAAGAGCAATTTTTTTCAGGTCCCTCACATCCTAGGCTACCCTTTTCTGGAAGTATTGCATGATGTCAGTCAGTGTTTCTTTTAAAACAAAGCAATGAAAATAAAAACTGATATTCAAGTTGTTGTTTAAGTGATACTAAAGAGTATCACTTCATCTATTCTGGATACTTTTCGTTGAGAGATAAACCATAGTTTTGAGCCAGACAGATTGAGTTTGAATTTGTAAATTGTGTCTTGGGCAAACCAAATTCTGTTACCTCTTGAGCCTCAGTTTCATCTGTAAAATCTAGTGGGGTTGTGGGAGACACCTAACAGAATGCCTAACAGAAAAGAGATACTGATGACAACAAATTTTATTCTATTAATACAAGCTAAGATTCTCTAATTTCTAAAAAGTGTCTAATGTATTATTCTCTTCTTATTAGGAGCAAAATCTAGTCACTTAGCTAGTTTTTTCCTATAGCTAAAATGTGTAATGTACTATAACTTTATTTTCTAAAAACAAATGGATTTTTAAGCATCAATGATGTGCCAGCTGCTATATTATAGACAGAAAATATAATGGAGGAAGACACAGTCTTTCTTCTAGTCCTCTTCTGGCACAGTGGGGTAAAAGAGAAACAGGCAGTTAAAATTAGGTAATACATGTTTTCTCATAGGAGCAACACAGCCTGGTTTTGAATGCAAAGCAAAGCTATCTAATCTAAACTGGGGCAGTAAGAAGGTGACTTAGAGGAGGTTATGCTGAGACTAGAAAGATAAACAAGGAGGCATTAGATTATACAGTAAAGCACTGGGAGGAGGCAGGGAGGTGTTCTAAAAAGTTTAGAGGCAAAAAACATTCCTGTTGTGATTTTAATTTTTATTTACATACTTTCTCTTTAAAACTGAACAGTGAGGGCATCAAGTGTATGAGTAGTGATTAGTGGAAATCAAATGGATCTGTTCATGATTCACCTGTCTTGTGGGTTTGTCAGTCTGCTGGATAATCCTAGCAACCATGGGAATTGTGATGAATCTGTGGTTTTTAACTTCTTAAAATTTTTGAGCATATTTTATTTAATTTATGCTAAAGATAGCTGACATCAGGAACAATGACATTAAACTAGTAAGAGAATCAAGAGTCTAAGTGATCATTCTGCAAATTTACCAAGCTGATTTTTTAGCAGATACACAAATTTGTGTCCATCTGATTGATATTCTTATACAGCAAAACAAAACTTTTTTTCCTGTAGTTCTGGGATGATTTTGCTTTTTAATAGTCAATGTTAAGAGGAGAAAAACATAAGGATTCTGAGTAATTTAGCTTTGTTTACTTCATTATATTATATGCAGAGTAGTGGTTGCAAATACATCCGCCAAACAGCTCTTATCACTTTATTATTTTTATCAGAACATAAGACAATTATTGAAAACATCAGTTTTTAAGGTATAAAATTCTTTTTTCCATTCTGATGTTTTAACACATTTAAATTTTAACCTCTGCTACAGCCAACACAGACCTTTATATGTGCTGTGCTGAGGCCTGGAATATTCATTCTTTCCTTAGACCTTGCCTTGGTTTATTTCTTCTTCTTATTTGTGTCTTTGCTCAAATGTCCAGGCCCAAGTTCACTCATGTAAAACAGTCTTTCTCCTACCATTGTCATTCTAAGTTCTCTAACCCTGCTTTTGCTCACAGCACTTGTGACATCTGAAATAATGTATTTTTCTTTTTAATTTACCTACTTACTGCCTATGTACTCCCAAGAAGGCTAAGTTTCACGAAGGCAAAGAAAAATAAGCACTAAGTGAACAGTTGCTGAATAATTTTACATTGCTATAATCACCTCAATTTCACAAATGGGAAAACTGAAGAACGGAGCATTTAAGTAACTTTACTCAAGGTAACAAAGCTAGCCAGTGATCAGACTTCTATATAATCTTTCTTCCTT